TTCTGCTGGATTTGTCCTGTTGATTTAACAGGACGTACCCAGTGATGGTGCTGTCTGGAACATTTCTGTGTAAGATACGATTCCATGATTATGACCAGGTAGGCTGCTGCTTGACTAATCTGAGAGACAGCTCTCCTAATTTTGGCAACTGCATTCAGTAGTGTTGCCTCTAATTTTCCTACCAGGTGCACGGATCTCTGAGACCATGCACAGCAGTACATTCTGGACACCAATTACCATGCTTGGAACATTGGAGTGGCTGTGCACATCCAGGTTCATTGCTTTTCTCTTTACGTGCAGTTGATACAACTGAATGGCTCACTAGGTATTTCACAGGACAGTTAAGAATCAACTACATCACTGAGAGTCTGGACTGATAAGTAGGCAAGACTAGGTAAGGACAGAAGTTTCCTTCCCAAAAGGACATCAGTGAACCATATGCCATGATGGGATTTGAACCCAGGCTCTCAGGACATTACCTGGGTCTCTGGATTGCTACCTGAGACTATACCATAGGCCATCACCTACCCTAAAATGCTGAAAAACAGTCAACACCTATAGGCAGAAGGTCAATTTTTTTCAGCATTTTCCTGTTAGTAAAACAGCCTGTTGGCTTTGTCCTTTATCTTAAATGATCTTCTGTGATGCTAACAAATACATTCAGATATGCTTTGTCACGATAAATAGAAAATACTTTTCTTTTATATAATTACTACTGCAAAAACCTGTCAATAAAAAATGTGCTACTTTAATAATGAGAGAAAAAGATTACATCCACCAAAATTTAATTAATACCATATACAATCTTTACCATTTTTGTGGGAACTGCACCACAACAACATAGCAAATTTAATAATAGTTGACTCAAAGAGGCTTCAGGAATATAAGAACAAGACAAAGCCATTCCACCCATAGGGTAGAATCTTACAGCAGTCTGAGCAATATGGGCTATAGGGAAATTTATGGCAGAATCAGACCGTAATGGTTTGGTGAGGTCCACCTGGACATTGGGAGAATCTCGTTCCACTTCTAACACGTTTTTAAAACGGTACGTTGAGTTTGTTAGACAGTGGCAAGTTGCCAATTACGGGAGATTATTCTTGTTGAATACCTCGTTAATGGCCCAACTCACCTTATTAATATCAGCTTCCTATCTTACCAAGCTAGACAAGGAAACTGGAAGGAGTGCCTGATGAATTCAGCTAATCACTTGCTTTGAAGGGCCTCCATATTGGACACTGGGCATGAACATCCCCGGGCACGTTCCATGGGCACTGGTCATGTACACACCCATGACCTCGAACAACTCACACTGCCCATCTCCCAACCCCTTAAAGGACATTTCTGCATTTAATGCTGCACCAACAACTATCAATGTGATGCTGCAGCAAGGACACGGACCCAGCTCATGTACTTGCCCAGGCTGCATCTCTGGACTCTTCGCAAGCTGTCATGGTGCTCAGTCACTTTGAGCCTACCTGAATGCTCACAGCATTTCTACCTTGCATTGTTTTTAGCACTTTCATCCTCAGCCAGAGATACCAGGCTCAGATTACTTCTAAATAAAAATGAAAAGAACTGCAGACACTGGAAATCAGAGACAAAAACAGAAATTGCTGAAAAAGCTCAGCAGGTCTGACAGCATCTGTGGAGAGAAATCAATCAACATTTCAGGTCCAGTGACCCTTCCACGGAACCATCAGTTCTCACGAAGTGTCACTGGACCCAAAACATTAATTCTAATTTCTCTCCACAGATGCTGCCAGATCTGCTGAGCTTTTCCGGCAAATTCTGTTTTTGTTTCAGATTACATCTATCTTGTCTTACCGCTTAGCACAGACACAAAGGTGGGAAGCTTGTCATGGTTGTCAGCATGCCCCAGTCAAGTCAAGGGGGATAGCCTTCACTCAGGTGGTTCAAGAACAGCCTCTTAACTGACTAATCCAGTGGCTAGAATGCAGTCAGATGAATAGTCAGGATCCTCCCAAAAAAAGGGGTGAGAAGTCAAATGCTGGGCAGCCCATTACCTATCTTGACTCTTTCTGCCTTATTGTGGGCTACTTTCCTCCTGGAATGAGACAGGGACAGGTATTAAGGAAGATGAAAGTAAGTGGTTGTTTCAGAGATAGTAGGAACTGCAGATGCCGGAGAATCTGAGATAACAAGGTGTAGAGCTGGATGAACACAGCAGGCCAAGCAGCATCAGAGGAGCAGGAAAGCTGACGTTTCGGGCCTAGACCCTTCTTCAGAAACCTCTCTGAAGGGTCTAGGCCCGAAATGTCAGCCTTCATGCTCCTCTGATGCTGTTTGGCCTGCTGTGTGGCCTGCTGTGTTCATCCAGCTCTACACCTTGTTATCTCATGAAAGTAGGTGGCACAGCTGTTATTTTTGTTTCAAGCAGGAGGTGTCCTGAGCAAGTCATTAGGTATCATAGAAAGCATGCAGGGTGTCAGGGTTGCAATGAAGGAAGATTAATGAGAGTGGTGAATATGAACATTAGTGGGAGATGGGTACAGTAACACAGATATAGTAGGCGTGAGGTATCAGAGAAAACATGGTGGCACATACGCTGGCAGAGTAGAAAAGGTCATTGTTCTCCAGACAGCACAGAGATCTTTAACACAATTGGCAACCTCAGACCAAGCTGGCATGGTCTAGTGCTATGGCCTCCTCTGCTGGTTCTGTGGAAACAGGCAGTCTGACATCTGCAGCATCCCATTCAGCAGGACATCCAGGTTCATGCCTACAAGATGGACTGACAATTTCCCCATCTGCCATATCCAGGGAAAATGTCAGGAACTGTTCAGCATAACTCTGGATTGACAGCGCTTGTCCATGTATACAATGGGCTTTTAAAGATGGTGTTATTGCAAGGAATGCTGGTTATTTATGGGATATCTGCTGAGTGGCAAGTTGTCTTTAGAATGGTACATGGCAAAATGGGGCAGAAACCAGGCAAGAGGTACCCCCAGGCAGATAGTTAATGAGGTGAGTTTGATAGGATACGTTAAGTAAACTTGTCAGGCCCCTTGGCGGAAATCCCTCCAGAAAACCTGATGCAACTCAGACTTACTTAAGAAAACAACATAAGATTCAGACCCCGCAATTCGTTCTGTATCTTCAATTAACTATATCTACTTGTATTAATGTTTTAACTTTTAATCGTTTTCATAATGTGTCACTAAAATCCATCATAAATTTTTGAGACTTTCTATTGACCTGGCTTAAACAGCATTTTGGAAGATGGAATTCCAGTTTATTACTAGCTTTTGTGTCAAGAAATTCTTGACATTTTTCATGGAACCATCTTTCAAATTTAAAACAAAAACAGAAATTGCTGGAAAAACTCAGCAGGTCTGGCTGCATCTATGGAGAGAAAGCAAAGTTAACATTTCAGGTCCAGTGACCCTTCTTCAAATTTAAATTTGTGTCCACTTATTTTGGAGTTCCTCAGCAGAGGAATTCTCTCTATCCTATCATTCTTCTGTCGAAAACATGATGTACTATAAAACCTTTGTTTTCAAGTACAATGTTAAGATTGAAATGTTAAATTCTATGGTAGGATTTAAGTGAATAATGGTGAAATTGAAAGAAGGGGATTATTTATATAGAAGGTTGAAACAAATATATAGCTCCCCATACCCACCCAGTCCCAACACTGTATGTCTCATCAGGTAACCAAAACAGGCTTGAAATAAACATAGTCAACTACAGCAAATTTTGTTTTAACTGACACCTTATGAACTAGCACTCTCAACAAACTGGCAAAAACTATATTCTTCAAATGGCGGAAGTTTACTGTGTTATCACGATCTCTGCGATGTCTAAGTAGTCAGTTGAGGGTGCGAGTGAGAAGGCTCACTGCCAGTAAGTTTTATTTAATGCAAAGTTGATCTATGCTGTAAATAAAGCATGACAGTGATGTGTACACCCCCTGCATTATGTTTCTAGTACTTAGTGTGCAATTTTATGTGGACCTTTTGATTAGCCAGAATATTTGATCAATCGCCATACTCCTGGTCCCACAGACGCTGGTTAATAAAAAGTGCTGCCGTCATTTTTCCATGATGTGGAAGTGTCAGTGTTGGACTGGGGTGGACAAAGTCAGAAGTCACATGACACCAGATTTTAGTCTAACAGGTTTATTTGAAATCACACAAGCTTTTGGAGCACAGCCCCTTAATAAGGTGCAGTGCATTTGTTATTTTTCCCAAATATAAAAACATATAGTGCTGGGGAACCTCAACAGGTCTGGCAGCAACCGGGAGATAGAAACAACGCTAATATTTCAATTTTAATACGACTCTTCTTTGGAACTTCAGTTCTCTAGACCTGTTGAATTTCTCCAGGCACCTTCTGTAATTATTTCAGATCTCCAGTATCCTTAGCAGTTTGCTTTTGCCTTCCTTGAAAATCAGCTATTTTTATTTTTTTGCATGTTTCCTCATATTTGCGACTTGCCATTTTTTTGCAATTTTATTGCTGGAGCAATAAAAAAAATCCACATGAGCTCTAATTCTCTTGTAATGTTAACTATACAAAAACAATTGAAACAGCATGACACATACAGCTTACCAGTGTTTTCAAAAGGCAATACCTTATTGGTAACTAATGGCATTAAGGTCTGTTGGAATACATCAATTGCAGGAAGATGTAACTGCCGAAATATATTTTGTTATGATTATGAGCACACACTTAAGTCTCAGCTTAATGCACAGATAATTGCATACTGACTTTATTTATTATTGATGCTTTACTTCTAGCAGAAGCTTAAATACTTCTGAAGTTTAAATTATGGATTTTCCAAGAGTGCTGTAAAGAACTCAAGATCCTCATCAGATGTTACACTATCATTTCAAACGGCTAATTCAAATAGGCTTGTACACTTCAACGAATTAAAAGTCAGGCTTCAGTAAAACTAAATGAGCCTTAACCGGCTCAAACAGTGTACCAGGATGTAAACATGAAGTGGAACAATCATGCTTGAAAAGTTTCCTTACCTAATACACCACTAGGCTCAATGGGATACTCCAGGATGGAAGTAGCTGGTGCCAGTGTGTAAGGATAGTCGTAAGGAGTATAGATTAGACTGGCTTCAGGTGCAGGAGGCACTATCGTAGTTGGGTGAGGCGATCCATTAGGCATTACTGTTGCTGTTTGTATTTGCCTAATTAGAGGCATAATAGTTGGACCAGCTGGTGTCGGGGCTCTCAAGGCAGCTGGTGGTAGAACCGACGTGGGCCCTGTAATGATCCGTGGTGCTTGGGCTGTTGCTGCAAGAGAAAAGGCAAGGGCAGCTACAGTAAGCAAAGGAAATTCATAGTGAAGGTGCGGACAGAACAGTGTGTATCAGGAAAAGGAAAAGTTGGAAATGGAGAAAAGCCAAAAAAGCAGGTGGAATGAAAGAAAAATGAAGAAGAAATAATTAGTACAAGCTGTGATAATTTGCAATGCTAAAGCACATTTTTAACCAAAGTGTAAACCAACTTTCAATTAAACTCAACTAAAAATGGGAACTGAAAAACTCAAAATCCAGTTGGTCATAAAGGTAAGCAGAGGATAAACACATTAGAGTTACATCTTATAATAGAATCATGGAGTCATACAGTATGGAAATGAACCCTTCGGTCCAACTAGTCCAAGCCAACCATCTTCCCAAACTAAACTAGTCCCACCTGCCTGTGCTTGGCCCATATCCCTGCAACCCTTTCCTATTCATGTACTTATCCAAAAGTTTTTTTTAAAACATTGTAACTGTAGCTGCATTCACCACTTCCTCTGGTAGTTCATTCCACACACGAACCGCTCACTGTGCAAAAAAAGTTGTCCCTCATGTCCTTTTTAAATTTTTCTCTTCTTACCTTAAAAATATGCCCCCTAGTTTTGAACTCCCCCACCTCAGGGAAAAGACCTTTGCCATTTACCTTATCTATGGTCCTCATGATTTTATAAACTATATGGTCATCCGTCAACCTCCTACGCTCCAGTAATAAAAGTTCCAGCCTGTCCAGCCTCTCCTTACAACTCAAATCCTCCATTCCTGGCAACATCTTGGCAAATCTTTTCTGAACTCTCTCCAGTTTAATAATACCCTTCCTATATGGGGCAACCAGAACTGCACTCAGTACTCCAGAAGAGGCCTCACCAAATCCTGTACAACCTCAACGTGATGTTCCAACTCCTATACTCAAAGGTCTGAGCAATGAAGGCAAAAGTGCTAAATGCCTTCTTAACCACTCTGTCTACCTGAGATGCAAATTTCAACGAACCCCTAGGTCTCTCTGTTCTACAAAACTACCCAGGGCCTTACCGTTAATTTTATAAGTCCTGCCCTTGTTTGTTTTACCAAAATGCAATACCTCGCATGTATCCAAATTAAACTCCATCTGCCACTCGTCAGCCTATTGACACAATTGATCAAGATCTCTTTGTAATATTTGATAACCTTCTTCACTGTGCATTATATCACCAATTTTGGTGTCATCCACAAACTTAATAACCATGACTCCTATACTCTTATCTAAATCATTTATAAGAAAGACAAACAAAAGTGGACCTAGTACCCATCCCTGTGGAATACCGCTGGTCACAGGCTTCCAGTCCAAAACAACTCTCCATCACCACCGTCTGTGTCCTACCGTAAAGCCAATTTTATATCCAATCAGCAAGCTCACCCCGAATCCCATGTAGTCTAACGTTACTAATTAGTCTACCATGCGGAACCTTATCAAAGGCTTTACTAAAGGCGAAGTAAACAACATCTACTGCTCTGCCCTCATCAATGTTTTTGGTTACTTCATCAAAAACTCAATCAAGTTTGTGAGACACGATTTCCATCACACAAAACTATGCTGACTAACCCTAATCATTTCCTGTCTCCCCAAATGCATGTAAATCCTATATTTCAGAATCACCTCCAACAACTTACCCACCACCGATGTTAGACTCACAGGTCTATAGCTCCCAGGCTTCTGTTTATAGCCTTAAACAATGTATAATGAAGTTCAGCTTCTAATGCAATACTCTAAAAGTTCTTGTGGCACAGTGGTAATGTCCCTAGCTCTGGGCTAGAGGACCTAGGTTCCAGGCCCATCTGCTTTACAGTTGTGATATAACATGTTTGAACAAGTTGGTTGAAAATATGTATATGGCAATTTTTATTTTCTCCAGGTAAACTACTGAGGCTTTTCATAATTCAGAAGTCAAAAGCCAATATTTCATTAACAGCATTTTTACATATGTACATTGTCTGTCCCACCATTCTTTCCATCCTCACGCTACTATATGAGCTCTATGTGGCGCTCCAGCTGATATTTACCTCTTAACCATAATGTAAAATGGTTGCCACATTTCCTCCATTACCAACAGTGATGACATTTTGAAAGTATTTAATTGGTTGCAAAGTGATTTAGGAAGCTCTGACATTGTGATAGACCTTAAATGCAATTCTTTTTAAATTGAGTAGTACGTAAGGATGTTATTGTCCAATGCATTTTCCATTAATATCCGTATTTCTGGTGTTATAGCAAAATATTTAAAATATCATTGGAGTGACTGCCTAGTGAATCAGACATGGTATAGAATTTGATTCCCTCCAGTAAAGAGCTAGTGCGCACACACAATGGCCTGAATAGCCCTCTTTTTGTTTTGCCAGCATCCATGGGTCTGTAAACTCTTATAGTAAAGATGCTTAATAATGTGAGCAGCCCTATTAAAATTGAAACGGAGTGCACTCTCCCTGAGGTAGGCCAGTTACTAATCAGAAATCATTGTAAAGGTGTTTGATTGCATTTTCCATTAAACATCAAATTCCTAAACACTTTGGATTTTATTCAATCAGTACATTTTTATATCAATAGTGAGCAGATAAAAGTGAATCAAACTGTCAATGACTTGAAGCTAATTATATTGCATCATCCTTTTAAAGCCAGTGAACAAATGATGCTCTATGGAGCACTGCACTCTGGCCAAACCTAACATTTAGACCATATGAATTCTACGTGCTATTCACTAACGCTTTAAAGCGCTGAAATCCAAGAGACAAATTTGGTGTGGGTATGTGTGGGACTGTGGGTGTGTGGGGGGGGGAAGGTGTGTGTGTAGGGTAAGGTGTGTGTGTAGGGGAGAGTGTGCGCGTGTGGAGGGGGTGGAGTAGGGCATGTGTGGTGGGGTGGGGCATGTGTGGTGGGGTGGGGCGTGTGTGTGGTGGGGAGTGTGTGTATGTGTGTGTGTGGGGGTGGTCTGTGTGTGTGTTGGGGGGTGTGGTTCTGTATGTGTGTGTGTGCGTGAGGGGTGGTTCTGTGTGTGTGGGGGCGTGGTTTTGTGTGGGGGGGGGGGGGTGTGGGGTGGGGTGAAGAGATGGCAAGCAAAGAAGTTGCTAATTTCCAACTGGGACATTTTATTTATATGGTAAATAAGGCACGTTACGATAGTATATTTTGGAAAAGATTTCCAGACACTGGGGAACTTTTACAAAAAATATTCCAGCCATAGAAATGAAGAACAAGGAAAATTGCCCATGCAATTGCAGGTCAGTCATGAAGTCGAGAGGTTCAGATAGTTTGTATGTATACGTGGGTCAACCCCAAAATACAGATCTGCTAAAAAGGACAGAAGCTGGCATCTGCCTCTGTGTGTAAAGACTGCCTTTCTGGAGCAGGAATACATAAATTAACCCAAATTAATATGAATATCTAGGAGCAATTATAAAGTGACAATCCTATCAATAATATTATGTGAAATTAAAATGCAACAAAAAACCCTAAAAATATTAATTTGAATCCCAGATGTTCACTTTACTGAGCCTCCAAACACTTATTTATAATGTATTATTTCAATTTTATGTCAATATATCCTCCTGCTTTTGGTCTGTCTTTGAGCTAATGGCAATTTTAAAATGGAAGACACCCAGATTCCCTCTGATTTGATATTTAATGCCACTTGAAGGGAATTAATAATGCTGGACTAGTGCACATTATAACCCATCGATGAGCATTATTTGCCCATTAAAAAGCAATTCAGTGTTGAGCCTTTTTCCTTCAACAATCAGGCCAAAAATCAACAAGTGAATTCCTGCAGAAAACAATAAAAATTCACATTAGTAGGAGAGTTATGCAATGTCATGTCATGAACACTCTGTCCTAAGGCAGGTCCTTGGCTCAGTGTGCACTGGTGCTTCAACTTGAGCCCATTACTTTGCAGTTTTTCTCGTGCTTTGAAATTGCTTTCAACTCTCAAGAGGCAGAGTAAGCAGGCCTAGACAATCTCAGCTGGAACAGGAATCAAACTTGTGCTGTTGCCGTTCTTCTGAACTAAACTCTAGCCATTCAGTCAACTGAGCTAACCTCAGTTTAGAATGAGCATGTGTATTTTTCTGTGACAGCCCAAGCAAAAGGATCAAATCTGTGCATGTAGTACCAGCAGATGCTCAGTGTTACTTGATACTATCCATTTGATAAATGCAACAAACTTTGCTTGTTCATTTCATAAGTTGATCAAATTGTCAGAAAATAACTTTGAAATTCTGTGGTCGGGAACCACTTTTATTTGCCAGTTGGTTACTTATTTCAGGGAGCAAATAACAGTTTTGTAGGCTAGTCTTTTCCAGATTCATTTTTGTTTTGAGATTCAGCACCTTTCTGTGCATTCCCTGTAATGGGAGTGGTAAGGAAGGCTGGACCTTTTATATTTGAAGCTGGGGAAATCTGCATTTGGCTGATTCTGCTGAGTTAAAGCTTATGGAAGAATGAATCTGTTGTAACATAGTTAACATTTTTTACAGGTTTTCTTCTCCTCTAGGTATTCAATACGAAAATCACCAGCCTCAAGGTTTTGCTGGGTTTGTCTAAAAGTTAAATATTCTACAAATTATGCAATATTCATACTAGGGCCTAGAAACCCAACATATCCTTACGTGATTTGATGTTGGCATCTCTATAAGTACCGTTCAGTATCGCTAATTCCATCAGCTGCATCTTCTTAAGGTTATCTTCTCCTTCTGCCTGGAAGACACAATTTTTAAAAATACCTTTATTTTCAATGTTGAACCATATTGAAGACTTTGGATCAAGACAGTCCAGATGTATAAATTGCTTACAAATATACAAATGACAGAAACTTGCTCCAAAGTATCATTGTATTTTCTTTTTATTATTAAAATTAATAAGTTATAACTGTCAAGTATCTGTTTCCGAGTGAAATGATAGATAGATGATCCATCCAGACAATCAAGTGATACAATATATAACATAGGCAGAATCTTGTGGAGGTGAGGGAGGCCTTAGGCATCAGCTGGAGAACTCACAAGACCCATGGCAAGATGTCCTGCTGAATCTTTAACCACTTGGCACTTGACAGGCCAGTGACTGTCTCCTCACAGGATCAAGGGCCAATCAGAGGCTGGCAGACCTATACTCAAGAGCACTACTACGGAGGTGTTCACTGTTGCTGGTACATTCTCCGCCTAAACCTCAGATCAAGGGGTGACCCATGTAGATGTTGCTGAGCTGGCTGTTATGGGCGGATATCTCTCCAAGGCCGAGACCTGTGGTTGTCAATTGTCCACTTAAGGGCCTTAATTGGTACTAGATAGGAAGGTTAGCCAAATGCCTTGCCACCCAGAACGTGATTGCTGAGCTCTCCAAGACTAACCCATGTGATTATTTGTCTTTCCCACCATCTGCCCTGCCATTTCTAGGAAGGGGAAAACTCTGCATTGTTTGCAGATTCTCAAAGGATTTGGTGAAAAATTAGACCAGTAATGATGAATCACAAACTGATTATGCTGTAGGTGGCTATGCAGACCATTGTGTCTGCATTAGCTCTTTGAGTATTTTAACAAAATGCCTTTTCCCCTCAACTCTGCATATTGTTTCTCTTTAAATAATTATGCATTACCCTATTGAATGACTCAATTGAACCCGCTGGCCACGAAACGTCCCTTCTAGTAGTGCATCCTGTGTGCCAACTACTAACTGTATTTTCACCTTGCATTTGTTTCTTTTGCAAAACACTTCAAAATTATGAGTGGGAACAGGTTTTCCTAATCCAATCTGTCTAGATGCATCATAATTTTGAAAACTTTTTATCAAATCTCCTCAAACTTCTTATCTCCAAGGAAAACAGTCTCAACTTCTTTAATCTTTCCTTGTAAGTGAAACGCTTCATTCCTGGAACCATTCCTGTAAACTTTTCTGTAAACTTTTCTGCACTCTCATCAACGCATTCACATCCTTCTGAAAGTGTGGCACCCAGAACTATAGACAATATTCTGGCTGAAGTCTAATCAATGTCTTATAGAACTTCATCATAACTTCCCTGGTCTTGTACTGCATGGTTCTATTTGAGTCCTAGAATGCCATATGCTTTACGAACAACTCTCTCTACCAATTATGCCACCTTTAATGACTCTCTGCTCCTGTACAACCTTTAGAATAGTACCCTTTTCTTTATACTGTCTTTCCAATTTTGTTTTATCAATGTGCATCACCTCACATTTCTCTGTACTGAATTTCATCTGTCACCTACCTGCCCACTCAATCAACATGTCAATATCCTTTTGATGTTCCACACGGTCTTCCTCATCTTACAATTGCCTCTTTTTCTTTTTTGGTTGGCAAATGTTGACATTGTCATCTCTGCATCAAGATCTAAATCATTTATATATATCAGGAAAAACAGGGTCCCAATCCTGATTCCTGGGAATTTCCACGACAAGCCTTCTTACAACCCAAGTACCTATTAATCATTGCTCTGTTTCCTAAATTCAGCTAGTTTTGTATCCATATAGCTACAGTTGCTTTTATGTCATGACTTATAACTTTCCTCACAAGTCCCTTATGTTGCACTGTATCGAATGCATTTTGGAAGTCCATGTACATCATATCAACAGCCTTCCTTTCATCAGCCCTCTTTGTTATAAACCAACTTTCCAGTAAAAACACTTGAAATCCCTGGCCCTACACTCATCCCTGGAAAAAGGACACCTATGACAGACTCCTATTTACTGACTCTAGCTCCACCTTCAACATCATAATTCAAAGCAAACCCATCTCCAAACTCAGATACCTAGGACACTGCTTCTCCCTCTGCAACTGGATCCTCGGCTTCCTGACCCACAGGCCACAATCAGAAAAGATAGACGACAACACCATCTCCACAATACTCCTCAATACTGGGGCTCCGCAAGGCTCCGTACTCAGCCCCCTACTGTACTCCATATACACTCATGACAGTGTGGCCAAATTCAGCTCTAATTCCATTTACAAATTTGCTGATGACACCACCATAGAGGGACCAATATCAGACAACAACAAGACAGAATATAGGAAAGAGATAGCAAGAATAGTGGCATAGGATTAAAAAAAATCTCTCCCTCAACGTCAGCAAGGCAAAGGACCTGGTCGTTGACCTCAGAAAGTGGACTGAAGAACACACCACTGTCTGTATCAGTGGTGCTGAGGTGGAGGTGGTCAAGACCTTCAAGTTCCGAGGAGTACATATCACCAATCTGTCCTGGTTCATTCACGTCGTCACTACAGTCAAGAAAGCACACCAACGTCTCTACTTCCTCAGAAAGCTAAAGAAATTCAGCATGTCCACAATGACTATCACCAATCTTTATGGATGCACCATCGAAATCATCCTATCCAGATGCATCACAGCTTGTTTTGGCAACTGCTGTGCCCAAGACCACAAGAAATTACAGAGTTATGAACGCAGCTCAGTCTATCACGAAAACCAGCCTTCCTTCCATTTACTCCACCTACACCTCCCGCTGCCTCAGGAAAGTTGCCAACATAATCAAAGGCCCCTCCCATTCCAGTTATACACTCTTCTACCCTCATACATCAGGCAGAAGATACAGAAGTTTGAAAACATATATCAACAGATTTGAGAACAGTTTCTTCCCCGCTGTTATCAGACTAATGAATGGACCTCTCAAATATTAGAGTTGATTTTTCTGTGCACCTACATTCTGCATTCTGTTCTATTACACTGATGTACTTATGTAAGGTATGATTTGTCTGGATAGCATGCAAAACAATACTTTTCATTGTATCTTGGTACAAGTGACCATGAAAATCAAATCAAAAATCAAATTTAACCAAACAGAACTTTAATATTAATGATAAGCAATATGACAATATATTGAGCAAGATTTCAGGTATGTTTAGCAATTCAATGGATAGATTTTTTACCCCTGTATTATTATAGATTGAAGATCTTCAAGCTAATTTAGAAAAAGCAATTAACTTAAAACAGTTATAATGGTCATTGGCTATTTATTTTCAGGTGCCTTGTTTGCCATCACATGTCAAATCATTGGCATAGCCATCCTCCCAGGGGACTGACTTTACTTTTAAGTTGACTGCATGACATGCATAAAAGGATTGTGGTGACCAAACTCTTTTGATTATTCTTGTACAAGAATTGGGTGCTGCATTTCCTATATTACAACAGAGACGACCCTTTCAAAGTAATTCGTTTGAGCTTTGGCACATTTTGAAGCTATGGAAGACAAGCTTTTTTTTCACAGTAGAGATTGAAGTGGGAGAATCAGATTGTTCTTCCAGTCATTACAGTGCATTGTCCTTCTCTAAATGAGCATTGAGATCTGTGAACTAAGTTTAGAGTTTATCTTGCAGTTACTCGATCATTTGTAGCCAACATGTACAAAAACTCTCTTCATCTGATTCAGTAAAAACTTTTCACTTGATGAGACAATTAGTCATAAATGGCAAGCTTGCAGTTCTATCCTGGGTCTTTGTTTCATTGTTCGCTGATGTCTGTACCAATACTACCAATACTATGAGAGACAACAAGGTGCAGGGCTGGATGAACACAGCAGGCCAAGCAGCATCATAGGAGCAGAGAGGCTGACGTTTCGGGCCTAGACCCTTCATCAGAAAAGGGGGAGGGGAAGGGGGTTTTGAAATAAATAGGGAGAGAGTGGGAGGCGGATAGAAGAGGGATAGAGGAGAGGATAGGTGGAGAGGAAACAAACAGGTCGAAGAGGCGGGTATGGAGCCAGTAAAGGTGAGTGTAGGTAGGGAGTTAGGAAGGGGATAGGTCAGTCCAGGGAGGACGGACAGGTCAAGGGGGCGGGATGAGGTTGGTCGGTAGGAGATGGAGGTGCGGCTTGAGGTGGGAGGAGGGGATAGGTGGGAGAAAGAACAGGTTAGGGAGGCAGGGACGAGCTGGACTGGTTTTGGGATGCGGTAGTGGGAGGGGAGATTTTGAAACTTGTGAAATCCACATTGATACCATTGGGCTGCAGGGTTCCCAAGCGGAATATGAGTTGCTGTTCCTGCAACCTTCGGGTGGCATCGTTGTGGCACTGCAGGAGGCCCAGGATGGACATGTCGTCTGAGGAATGGGAGGGGGAGTTGAAATGGTTCGCTACCAATACTATCATTGACATTGGCCCCAGGCAAGGAAGGTTAAGGGAGAAGTGAGCACACCCAGTCTCAGCTGAGACAGTTTCATTGTCAATTGGCACAATGTTGGTCATCAATAAAGAATCATCATTTGAAGTAGGGTCCAGAGGACTATCTGAGGAATGGAACTGTTATAGGGAACAAACCATCAAGAAGTATAACAAAACACAAAGCATAGAATGGAACAGTAAAGTGTTTTCAAATATATACACACCTCTAAAAGAAAGAACGATTTGAATTACTTTGATGCCTATTGATGTTCAAGTTAAAATGGCTTGAGACTGATTTTATTGTGGATAAAGACAATATATTTAAAAAAAAACGACAGTTTCTGTTCGTTTAATCAGAGGAAAAAAAAAAGTAACTGTAATGTATTGTTGCCATATCTCACGTGTGGAGAAAAGATCAACATGTTCAAGAATCAAATACTTAGCTGCGCTGGTGGGTAGGAAAGAAAAAGGAAGGATAGCTATGTACACACAAGCAGTTTGCAATAACATTCTAGAAACCCTTGATACACACACGCAAGAATGGTCATGACTGCTAATATTCAGTTACACCCT